ACATATATTTGCATATATTTGTATGTAAATAACGTATATAACGATACTAGTGGGCAATACTGTCTTTTATTGTGCATGGGATACGCGTGCCAAGAATAGATATTGTGTTTAAAAAAGGCAACAAACTCTTTCAACATACAGTTATCAACACTTGATACAAATCACGTAACGTGTAAATTACTGAATATGAGTTGAAACCACAATTTTCAAAAAAAAAATATCTCTAGATTATGTAAGATTTTGAAATCATGAGAGTGAGAATGAAACCACGTATATACCCCCCTAATAAATACACGAAAGAAACAATGTCTTGATTGACCTCGTTGACGTTGCAAAATACTAATAATTAACACTGCATTCTATGTTCTGCAGCCGATTGCTGGATTGACGGATGCAATTCTGAGTACCCTCATCCTCTTCCTTCAAGATGTGCAGATAAAAGTGATGAATTGAATTGTATTTCCACAAGTAAGTATCATCTTACAAAACATAGTAGGAAAGCAAAAAACAACCAAAAACGAAATAGCGTACTATAGCGAAGTATTGCAAAACCTGATAATCACATTTTATATTCCCACAAATCAATTTTTGCAAATTTTCAGGATCATTTAATCTCACTGGCTGCTTGTGAAAATGCAAATTATGTTTCTATTCAAGACTAAGAATTGAAAAATCTATATAATCACTATAGTCGTACCAAAAACGGCAATAATACGATTATCACCACGATAAACATATATTATATGGTACATTATTAACACATATATTTATTGATTATCTCTAAATATTTGATGAATTGAAACATACTACGCAATAGAATCAAAAAAATGCAGGCATCACTAGGATCAACATGTTATTTTCTGTAATTTTGTTGTTACTGTTAACCTTCCAGATTGTAACGTTTTAATTAACAGTATTTTATTCCTAAAGTCTGACAGTGTGTTTTTACTAAATGTCGAGACGAAACTGATGTTTTTGAATGCTTGGTGACAAAATTATCTGCATTCGCACCACCGGATTGGACAGCAATTTAATTCTCGAGGAGGCAAATCACATTGATAAATCACGTCTCGTCAGCAATGTATTAACTGTCTCCCCGAAATTGCAATACTCTCTAATCGATTGGTACAGAAGCCGATTGATAATGAACTTACCACCTTAGTGCCAGTGGACAAGGCGTGTCAAACTTGATGCAATTCTAGAAGATCGTCTTATCAGAGTTGGTGGACGCCTGCATCGTGCAGCACTGTCAGATAATGAGAAGCATCAAAATATTATACCTAAGGATTCTCCTGTAGCAAATCTAATTTTGCAAGACCTACACAAAACTGTTGGGCACCTAGGAAGGAATTCGATGTTAGCTAAGCTAAGGCAACACATTTGGATCCTTTGTGCAAATACAATCAATCGGATAATTATCTCAAAATATGTTTATGCCGCAGATATCGAGCCAAAGCAAAAGATGGCAAGTTTGTCTGTGGACCGTTTAACACCAGATGAACCCCTTTCAAACGTAGTGGTGTGGATTATTTTGGACCTATATTAGTTAAACATGCTCGGAGTGCTACCAAGATATATGGTGTTGTGTTCACGTGCTTGGCAACCAGAACTATACATTTAGAAGTGGCTCATTCGCTTACTACTGACTCGTGCATTAATGCATTGCGCAGATTCATGGCGCGAAGAGGTCAGATCGAGGTTGTGCGGTCGGATAATGGAACAAATTTGGTTGGAGCCAATCTTGAGTTACGTGATGAAATAAATAGGTGGAACCATAGTAGAATCTCTGGAGCATTACAACAAAGAAATATTAGATGGGAGTTTAACCCTCCAGCTGGGTCCCATTTCGGTGGAGTGTTGGAGCGACAAGTCAGAATGGTACGGAAGGTTCTCTTTAGATTGTTGAAAGAACAAGTCATTAACTTGGATGACGAGGGTCTTGCGACATTGCGACATTGTTCTGTGAAGTGGAAAATATTATAAATAGTCGGCCAATTACACAGCCTTCTTAGAACCACTTACGCCCAATCATTTGCTACTTCTTCAGTCCAATCAGATTGTACCACCAGGAGTGTTCCAAAGTCATGATAATTATGTACGCCGTAGGTGGCGCCACATCCAATATCTCGCAGACATGTTTTGGAAACGGTGGTTAAGAGAGTATCTACCAATGCTTCAAGAGCGGCAGAAGTGGTTGAAACCTCGGAGAAACCTGGCAGTAGATGATATAGTTCTGGTGGTAGACAACTCATCACCAAGGAACTCATGGCCGATGGGAAAAGTTATTGGAGTTATGAGGGACCGCAATGACTTGGTATAAGTATCCAAAGTGAAAACAAGCTCAAATGTCCTTGAACGTCCTATTGACAAGTTGTGCATAATTTTGGAAGCTGATGTTGTCTGTGGTGGTACTTGAATTTCTGACTTTCCAGGATGACTGTTTCAGGATATCCGGTTTGGAGATCTGGGAGCCTGTGGGTCGGGTTGCTGTGTGGGCTATCCTGGCTGTGTGTGTTTTGTGCGCTGTTTGTGTTGTTTGCCTTGTTTGCGTTGTGTGCACTATGTACCCGTTTTTGCTCGCAGCGTTCCTTTTTTGGCATCAACACATGTTGTTACATGCGATGGACTCATCGTATTCATGTTGATTCTTTCTCGTTTGTAATTGTTTCAAGTATTTACACAATTAGGAGGCCGGGATGTTATGGCCAAATAACGTTATACTAATTTGCTATTGTACAGTATGTCGCCCTCTGTAGTTGAGATTTGGTAAGGTGGCTATTTATAGCACCTGGAAAAAGCAGAGAGAAATGGCGGATCACAGCATGTCTTGCTGGTGTTTTGACGCATTTGCATGAATTATAGCAGTCGAGTGAACTACACTAAGCGAAGTTTAGGTTGTTGATTGTTGGGGTATAATATTACTGTGAGCATACATATAATTTCTATGTTATGAACTGCTGACTTTTGCGATGTTTGTTTGAGATCATTGCTTCGTATACATGTGACTCGTGTTTACCGGTCATGCTAGTCTTTACGCTTTACGATCTACTGTGTGTTATTCCATGTATTTCTAAGATGTGTTGTGATATCTTTACCCTTTGTGAGGTAGTCGCTAACCATGATGATAGTAATATAACTCTACAAAATGTACATGTTTACTATGCATATCAATCGATTACTTGAAATGTATTGTTTACATATGTGCTTTATTTCTCTGTATACCTTTCAGTCAATCGTTTCTCAGTGTTGGAAAGGAATAAAGTGTCAAGTTTATGTTCGGACATTTGTTTCTTATATTTTTGGAAAGCGCATTGACAACTCCCAATAATCCAACAAGGGACCGATCATTAGCCTTTTTGTTTGCGTCCTACACCATATATTGTGTAGTTTGTCTGCCATCTTGCATTCTAGACATCAAACGTTTGTCAAATAATCACATCAAGAAAGTCAATTTGCCATGAGCAATGCCATCTTTATATGTCCAGCCTCTATACTATGTGTTCAAAACAGACAGGTAGGAAGATTTTTGTGCTTGAATTGTACACCTTGCGGTCAGAACGTCACAATGCCACTGAGCCATGCTCCTGGCAAAACATTGTAGTTTATAAACATGTGTTTATGGAAAACGGCGTTTGGAAAAAATGGTGCGAATTACTACCAAACTGTATCACTGACTTCGCTGAAGGACTTTGTGAATCATTGCTAAATTGTATGAACAACTAACTTGACTGAATATATGCCAGATTGCAGAGATGGGGTTACTGACCTGACTACTGGGACAAAGGATTGAAATAACCTTTGTTCCCACTCTTGCACGATCGAGGTGTGAGCAGGTTGTGGTCATGGTCTCTCCCTGCAAGTTGTGAAGAGATTCGGGCCATGCTGCATGAAGACTGACCAAAAGAGCTCTACTAGGCCGATAATGGAAGACACTAATAGTGATGTGAACATGCTAAGCCACTGAATATCGTGCTGAGCGAAGAGCTGAGTGCTGAGCATTTGTTACCGGTAACTCATACACACATTCACATTAGTGTAGGAAATTCCAGAGGCTGTATTAATATTCATTGTTATTGTTATTGTTATTATTGATTGTATTGTTTGGAGATAATTATTTATTGTACGTGGTACTTTGCTTCAATATTGTGTTTTCATTATATGCGAGTGACCTTATACCCTGCATTCGCTATATTACGACGGTTTGAGATGAATTCCAATCTGGCGACGATAAAATAACCCACACGGATCACGGATATTGAGTGGTGTCCTTCACGGACAAGAACATTCGATCTTGTGACAAGAACGTAGTCCATCATGATGCAACGTAATGTAGATGCTGTGTCGATCATATGATATTAATTCCTCTCATGATTGGTGGGGGTTAATTTTCATACTGCTATCGCAATACACAAGCTGCATACAATTCAATTCGCAGAAAACTTGTATGTTTTGCATATGAATAATGTAGCCATCTATGCATTAAGTCACCTGTCTCTCGTGCAGAATGTAAATCATTGCTCGCACCTTAAGTAAGACAGATCAGCTTTAGCGAAGGTGTAAAATAAATCCGAAGGAAAGTTTTAGAACCCACAACATCATCCACAGTAGGTAGAGTCTCTGACGACCAAGCTTTTGCTATTTCCGATGGGATAACTTGAAATAACAAGTTTTAGAAGGTTCATTTAAATTAATCGTGGCGAATGGCGAAATGTACATAACATCTTTGTATTTATGTAAATTAGCATTGCCACCAGCATTGCAGTTGATTTTATATTTTGGTAGAATAGTAAAAAAACTAACATGGGTTAACGAATATAATGCCGCATTTTGAGTCAGAGTCCCTTAAACTGCAGTCGAGATTTCTGGACCTTCTTCTATGTTTTTCAAGTATTTACGTACCTGGCAATGAGAGATATAAATATAATACAAAACATGTCATGAATGGTAAAAACGTATGAGACAGTGTGTCAGTGAGTACAATTTTGTTTATGTACATTTCATCAATATTCAGTCAAAGTAGTATTTTTCGCACAAGGTACGTTTTCGATGAATGTACCATTAACATTTCCTTTTGGAAAGTAGTTACACACCACATATACTTCCTGTCCTTCAGCAATTCCACAACCGATTCTGGTGGTATTTTTCCAGACGACTTGTGTAAACATATCTGTAAATTAAACAAACATAAGCAATATGTGTCTCTGAATGTATCAATGCGACGTGTTCCTTATCTGAGTGACTGGTTAATAATTGGCATACAATCTACATATCAATAGGTTCAGACGAGCACGGTGATGATTTCCAAGAATGATATTTTTTTATCGTAATTTACTTAAACTTTATAAACAGAGTCCATATTGCAGTGAGAGGTTATACTATTTGAACAATTTTGATTACTTTGAAAATAATACTCTCGAAAAACAATGTCAAACATTTTAGACAAACACATGACTGGCCATAAATTGCGTATATCAAACACAATATGTGAAGTATATTAGATAAAGTACGCGCAAACAAATTCCCAAAAAATTCAAGATGACGGTCAATGCAAGTTTTGTCATATAAAGTTTTGGCTATATATGCTACATGCCTTACATTTAATTAATAAGGATGACGCGTATTTCAGTATATATGACATAGACTTTATGACGTGCAGTATTAAGAAGGTGCTTTTATCAATCCTTGTTAGTGAGTTATTAAATTATTCAAATCTTTATATTGCATCTTGTTGTAAAACCACGAAAAGTATATAACTGAATATACCTGATTAAATAGACATGTGTATAAACACTGGTGTAGACCACGGATAAGAGGCAGATAGACCGATAAAAGACTGGTGGTGGTCACTAATCTGGTGGTACTCAGGTACGAGCAGGTAAATGTAGCACGCAATTCGATTGAACTGCAACGCTTTATTAAGGCAGTTGTTTTGTACATTGCGACAACACTGTGTGTGTCAGTGTGCAAATCAAGGGTCTGGCGTCTAGAAGGATATTACGCATGTCAAGGTATCACGGGATTTTTTTGAGTCAGCCATGTAAACTGTGTTAACTGCTGAAACAGAACATCAGGTAACATGACATTGCACCCACAAACACAAACGCCACCAAATGCTATCTGTTCTGGGTTATGTTTCAATGTTGCACATGCAGTAACTAGAACCCACACAAAATGATTAAATTACTTTTGTGCGTCCTATATTTCGGATCCTCTTGACAAAATAATGCGAGTGAACAACATTTTTTAAATAAGTTTAAACATACACAAATTTAAAAGGTGATGGGTTAAAACCCTCACAAAAACAAATTTTGACATTTCTACCACCAAGGAATTGGAATTGTTTTAGCACATATGAGGGGTGTACTTTATGATACTAGTACATTCACTTCATGAAATAAAAGTAAAGAATATACGGGGATGATTTTCAGAAACACAAGAGTTAAGTCTAAAAATGTGCAATACTTTTTTAAGTTTCTTAATGAGGCAGCCGGTGTTTGCATTATCTATAACAAGTGGTTGTTTCAATGTGTGAACAATCAACTAATCGGATCCTTTATACTGCATTACTGGTTTGGTAATTTCCAAAATATTCTAAATTTATTTTAATGCCTAAACTTTCTGTCCATGAGACACCTACTTAACTGTACAAGTCCCTTGTAGTTACACGAGATGGTTCCCTCAAATATTGGAATAACCTACATGAATTCTTTGGAAACTCTTATCTAACAAACTGCTAAATACAGTTTACAAATTAACGCAATACCCTTTTGTCAGTGATTTTTCATTTCTCAGTGGAGCTTAAAGTTATTTTACATGACCAAGCCACTCCATTCGTTACATGCGTGTTCAAATGACAATAGCAAACAATAAAATCAGTGTTATATAAAAAGTTAATTGTAGAGACTTACGTGATTCATTCCAGAAATTATATGTAACATTGTGACCTTTTAATACACAGTTTGTGTCATAAAAATAATAACATTTTTCAATATGTTGGTGATTTGAGCCCATTTGTTTTTCATGTATTCCATACAAGCATAAAATGCTCTCTTTACTCGCAAATAAGAGTATCATCATGTCAATGCATTTAAATATATATTACAGATACTATCATATATTATCAGTCATAATAAATATGCATATTAAACAACTCGCAGTTAATTTAAAGTAGCTCACTAACGAGCGACAACATACCAGTAAGTATACTAGGCTTGGATTCATCGCAGTTATACATCTGTTTTTGCTGGCACCAATAGTCAACAGTTTCCATACCTATATATGGACGGAAAAAAAGATATATAGAAAAAGGACTTCTATGATAGAATATTGCGACATACTAGAGGTAAGAAATTCATTCCAATCCTATGCAATACATAATCCTAATTATTGTCGTCTAATGACGAAAATGCAATTAAATTTACCAATGAACAACAAGCAAGAATACAATAAAACAATCGCAGCCATAAGGTGTTAAGTTTATTATCAATCAACTTTCGTTCCGAACGTTTGGAAAGCATTATAATTTCGGGGAGATAGCTAATGACTAGAATTACAAATGTGATTCGCATTTTTGAGAATTAAATTGTTCTCCAATCCAGTGGTGTGAATGTTAACAATCTTCTCACCAAACGCTCGACAACATCAGTTTCAGTTTAACATTTAGGAAGAAAACACCGCAAAACTGCAATTAAAACGTGACACTCTGAAATATTAACTGTTGACAAGTTACAGAAATTTACATCATGATTTCTGTGACGCCTGCAGTATTTCTGATTCTTTTGTATAAGATGTTAATAAATGTGCTGGAAATAATATACTGTATCATAGTTGTTTATTGTGGTGATAATCGTATTACTTGTAAGATTGTGGTGATCATGTTGTGTTATATTTTTGAATTCTTAGTGTTGAAATAGAAATATTATTTGTATTTTCACCAGCAGCCAATGAAATTAAAGTATCTCAAGAAATATATCATGTTATTTTTTGCAATAATGTTCCAACAAGTTGCATCCCAGCAGGCTCAAATATTTCAATCACTTAGAAAAAAGCTTAAAACTTTAAAATGTGTTAAAATGATTCTTGCATCCTTCCCCCTATTTTTTGTCCACCTTATTGAGTAGTTTCCCATATATACAAGGACAACTCAGAGTCACCTGACTCTCTTTACTCGGTGAGTGAATATTTTCTAGCAGCTTAATTTATCATTAAATTCTTAATTCTTATTATGCAGCTAATTCTTCATATGATGGTGTATATATATTTGTCAGGATATGGTTCTTTACATATTTGCGAAGTTGGAAAGCAACTTAATGATTACAGAAGGAAAGGTTATTCAAGATGAGCTTTACCTGTTACTGCTGGAAAATGGTCCCGACGATACATTGCAGTGTTTTCTCCAAAAGGCCAAATTTGACCGAGAAATAATGCTGTTGATTCTTGTTTTAAGGTAACATTTCCATATACACTTGCTGCTTCTGACAATACAATGTCCCACACCAGAGGTGGTACGCCATGCATACATCGAAAGTAGTTATGTGCTTCCAATAGTTGGCGTTTGTATTCACTGATGCTACCATTTCCTGTTTCATTCATAGGCATTACGCATGTAATTTTATCTGTAGTATCTGTAAAAAACGTGATTTGATTAAGCTCTTCCACAATTGTGTCAATTTATTCAATACTATCGAATAAAAAAGTATAAGTATACTATTGTTACAATTAAAACCACCTGATTCTTAATAATGTATCCATAAACAAAAATATCAACTGGTGTTTCAGATAATGTAGTAGAATTTGGGTAATCGTGATAACCCAAAGCCAAATATATATTTTTTAGTCTCATCAACATTCGGTCATCCAACAAAAGCAAATAGACCCACAACAAAAATAGATAATAACTATAATAGGGAAAATTGCTCTATAATAATATGCCCGGCTGATACATGATCCCAACCGAATAGTCACTTAGGGGTTAATCAACTGCGCTCGGCTGTGACATGAAATAAATATATGTATGCGTTATAGCGTAGTTTTATGTGCTATACACTCATACCATGCTTATTTAGATTATTCTTACTTATGGCAACACAATCCTCTTCATCACCATGATCGGGGCAATCGAAATTCCCATCACAAAGTAGAGATGAATGGATGCAAACTTTACCAGTGTTTGCACACGAAAAAGGAGTTCCTGGGTTACATCCATCCGGGTCAAAATAAACAGCTATTAAAATAAAAATAATCAGTTTCACAAATTTGCATTGATCATCACGTGTATGAGAATACATATTAGGGTACAACATGTTTACTGTATTAGTTAGCAATGGGGAGGAGTAATTGTGGTATTCTTTCGCTTTTGTTCTGCTATCTAAACAGTGTTCTTTCCGAATATTCATCAGAGTGATTTGACTTGCTGTATAAATTTACATTTTGTATATGAATGTCCAAATTTCTGATTAAGTTTAAATTGTGTATTTAAACATGTTCTTATTAGTAGGGCCAATATATTGGCAATATAACTACGGACATTATAAAGGGTGTTAATTAATTGTAATACTTACACTCTGCTGCACTTTCAATAACAATCTTTAATATTATCACCTATATGTCAGCAAAAGCAGGATAAACAAATACATGAGTCGAAATGAGATTTTTTTCATTAATATATCACTGAAAACACTGGGATGACAAGTCATTTGAAGATGACACAAACACCACCTTTCAGATGTGATTATAGTTGGCTATGAATTATAAAGTTTGAATGTGCATGTATAAAATTGGGTAGGAAGATTAAGTTGAAAATCAAAAGTATGTTACTCAAAGTTGACAGCTAGGACATCTCTATTAAATTTGGTAATATTTGCATAAATTTTAACAAAAATTCACAATCAATTGAATATGGAAATTCAATTGAGTCAAGATTAAATAGCAAATACATGAACTAATTATTAGTTGACGAGATAATAACACAAATTCAAAATTAATTAAATATTCAAATTAGCTCATCAAATATGTTAAAAGTCAATATTACATAACACACATCTTATATTGACAGATCAAGTAAGTTTATACCAAGTTAGGTCTCATTCGGACAATTAGTTCACAAGATACTAAGAACAATTCAAAATTAATTAAATATGCAAATGAAATTAATATTGCATAACACATATCGTATAATGACAGATCAAGTAGGTTTATGCCAACTTTGGTCTTTTTGAACTATTAGTTCACAAAATATCAACAAAAATTCAAAATTCATTAAATATAGAAAATGAGCGCGTTCATTAAATTGAAACTCATTATTGCATAGCATATATGTTGACAAATCATGTCTCTACCAAGTTTGGTCTGATTTGGACTATTCACAAGATATTAACAAGAATTCAAATTAATAATTAAATATGCAAATGAGCTCATTAATTAATTCCTTGATTCTGTCTTTGTACCAAGTCTCAGTAAAATCGGTCAAGGCATCTTCGAGAAATGATGATGGACACACCCAAACATTTTACAGGATTTTGACATTCAAAATGGCCGCCAGGCAGCCATAATTCATCATTTCAAAAAGGTTAAACAACGTGCATCTGAACAAAATCGATCAAAGACCGAATTTTACTTAATTTTGGCACATTATGTAGCAATGTGTACATTCAGCAAAGATAGATGCTGTATTGATTCACTTAGTGTTGGTCAACACGAATTTACATAGCAAAGTAAAATATGTCCGCGTATTTTGTGAATTGCAGTGGAATATTTAAGTTGGCACTGATGATATTTACCACAGTCATCCAGGCTTTTATTTTGAAAATAACTATGGGAGTTTTTGAGATCATTGCCCTTGCTCAGATTGGGTTTTGTACAAACGTGTAATTATGATTAACGTTTTTTGTGTGAGATGATTACTTAGCCGAGATATGATTGTAAGAATGACTGATCGTTTGGTAGAAGTGATTAGCACTGCCTTGTGCAGTTCAATTGTTTAGTGAGTGATGGGCAGTTGAATACATCTGGAAGTATGAATAGAGGTATGGGAGTTTGGGAGGACTAGCCACGTCTGTTAAGAATTCAAAAGTGAACTCGACTTCAAACGTAACCATCTATTTTCTGTTGAAATTGATTGTCTCATAATCTAAGGAAAATGAATTAATATTTTAATATAAATTGTTTTTAACCTTTATGTCATGCACAATACAGATCTGTTTTACGAGGCACATTAAAGGCGTTAGGGGGTTATCTTAGGGTACATTAAAGGCGTTAAGGGATATTTCTAATTTGTATTATGACAGAGTCTGATTGATTGAGATTGACTTTATTCTATACCGTATTGAATGTATTAATTGCTCGCATGTTAAGTGCGTGTGGTAATGCAGCCTGATACCTAACTGTGTGATCGAAGAACTTGTTGGTATGACAGATGAGAATTAGCTATTACCACAATGTTGAGTTGCCGATTTATTCATAAACTCACATGTCGTATAATAAATCAACCAGTTATTATCGAAAATTGTTCCTTGGAGAAGAAATTGAAGCTGTCCAGCAAACAACAAAAACTAGTCGTCATTTTTTCGTGCATTTATGATTTATGTCAACTTTTCCATATAAAACACATTCTACTGTATCCCCTAATTATAACTTTAATCCTACCTTCCATAGCTACCCCCACATTTGTTATATATGACCCTACTCGAAAACACCTGTAGCCTTCTATCCATAAAATTTAATTCAGATCAATTTAAGATGAATAATATAATTTAGAAATATATCAAGAACACACAGATATTATACGCATCTTTCATAGTTTTTACCAAGAAGAGAGAAGGCCTATATTATGAGTTATTTTAAAACAGCATTAATGGGAAAAGCTATTTGAATAATGTTAAAACAGTTTCTCCATTACTAAATAACACATTAACTCGTTATTAAGTTAATTCTCCAGCTTTTATTTTCACCTCACAGGCTGCTCTGCAGACAATGTTAAATACATTGAATAAATACGATTCAAACATCCTGTCCAGCATGTCAGAAATGCATTTGCTTCATTTTCCAATTCAATACGGCCGAGTGGCAGCAATTCTAATGACAAAAAGCTTCAAAACTACACAGGTTTGTGTATTTCAGAACCATCGCGGCTGTGTTTGGACTTGGTACATACATTGAACACAAAAGGTCCTTGATGTACATAATTTTATTTTTTTCAAATCAAGTCCAAAATGGCCAGCTCGTAGCATTTAGTTTCAAAAAATGCAGTTCCAGATCCATATACTTCACATGCCCGGACCGATCAAGTTCTAACTTCACATTTTCCATTTTATCAGACACGAGCACATGTATTTGTTTCGAGATCGGATTCAAGATGGTCAAATTACAGTCATTTCAAAGCCAAAAATGCATCAAAGTCCCATATTTTCACTATTCTAGAACGTATAACACATAATATTCAGTTACTAGTCATTGTACATACATGTTTAGTACTGATCCTCTCATTTTAAAGAAACATGTTGTTTCATTGAACATATGTACTTTAAAAAAATGCAAAGACCTGTTTAGTGGATGCTCTTTGATACTCCGCATGTATGCCTATTTTTTTAATTAGCATATTTTTTAATAACCAATCAGTTTTGATGACACTTGGTAAAAACCGTGATTATGGATCACATTAAAAGTAGGTGAAGGGCAAACATTGAGTTTATTTGTACTGTGGTATATGTTCCTCTAGAAAATACAAACAAGGATGGGGTAGATGAAATGTACCATGAATTATATAGTACTATTAGTAATTTAGAAGTATCAAATGATCAGTATTAATTGCTAGGGGATTTTAACGGTAGAATTGGGAATATTTCAGGTGATAAAATGATAAACAATTAATTTCATTAATAAATTATTTTGACCATTCATTGCCCAATAATAGTGATATTAGCATTGGTAAATGGACGTGGTTTCGCCATACACAACAATCGGTCATAGATTATATGTTAACAAATAACAGCTTTAAGTATAATGTAACAGAGCTGTTTGTAGATAAGGATAGATTATTTGATACTGGTAGTGACCACAATATTATGTATGCCACTTTAAACATTCCAACTTTATAACAATACCACAAAGTAAATAAAACACAAAAATGGGATATAAACAAAAATACTAATTGGAATGAAATAACAAAATGTTTTAACCACCAAGTTATCATTCTTTGATGATACTGTGCGTTTGTGAGGTTATAGGCAAACATATTACATCAACTACCGGTGATGCTAAACCATGGTTTGTTTAATTAATTAGAGGGTGCAATAAATGGAAAGAAAAAAATCAAATAAAAAACACAGAGAGTGGGTTAAAGAAAACAGCAGTTACTATGACAATGAAAGTGAAATATTATGGAATAAATATCTAGAAGATACAAATAATGTCAAAAATCTTATAAACAAATTGAAAACAAAGTTAAGCAGCGTATTGAGGATTCTAAATGTGGAGGTAAGTCAACTCGAAAGTACTGGTCAATTCTAAAGAACAAAGAACATATTCTTCAGTTGTTCCTTACCAGGAACATAAATTAATCATAAAATAGATAATGTTAAAAATGTTTTAAATTACCTGGAACACTTGGGTGAAAGAACCCATCAAAATTTGGATGAGAAAGATAGTTTTTCTAATTATCAAAAAATGTTTTTAAAAAAAGTTTTAGATTCAATTGCCAAGTATGAAGAATATTCGTCACAAAATGTAAATAACTCCGTAAAAGATGAACAAATAAATAAAATAATATCAGATCTCAAGAATAATAAAGCTGCAGTGCCAGATGAAATCATCCATGAAATCAAAGGTGGTGGCAAAGTAGCGACAGATTCATTAAAATTGTAATTTAATTTGTGTCTCCACCTTAAAGTTGTCCCTGTTGATTGGGGGAAAAGCATAATAATACCATTACACAAGAAAGGCAATACAAACAATCTGAATAACTATAGAGGCATTTCACTCAGCTCAGTTATTTTAATTTATAGTAAAATAGTTGTAAAGAATTAATCAATTTGGTGGAATATAATAATATTTTAGAGAAAATTCAAGGGGTATCAGAAAAAACAGACGGACAATTGACTAAGTGTTCATTCTAAAATTGATAGTTTCAATTTGTAAACACCAGAAAAAGCATACCTATTTTGCCTTCTTTATATTTTATATTTATATTTTGGAGAGACGGTTTACTGTATGCTTTATAGCAGAATGGTGTAAAGGGCAATTAAAAACAATGATATTGTTTAGCCCCAAGATTATTCTCAATTTATATAAATTATTTAAAAAAACTTTTAGATGATTCACTACTTGGTGTTAAATAAGATGAAATTTGAATAAATGGATTGTTCTTTGCTGATGATGTGGTGCTCATTGCACCAAATGAGGACCAACTCAAATCCATATGTCACAAACCATTTCTGCAAACTATGGAAGATGAAAATTAATGAGGAAAAGTCAAACGTGTTGATCGTTAACAAAACAGTTAACAAAAACAAAGATTGGCAGATTAGGAACTCAAAGATAAAAGAAGCTTTTGAGTATAAATATTTGGGTTATTGGATTACACGTAACTTGTCAGATCATACACAATGTCCAAAAATGTCTGAAAAGTTTAACAAGTTATTCCCCATTATGAAATCAATTCTTGGCAACCATGGCAATGTGAATAGAGTAGATTATGGTATATCCCTGTGGAACCACGTTGATGGCCCTGCCTTAGAGTATGCCTGTGAGTTACTAATATTTAGTTTAATAGACATGGAAAAGTTAGAAAGAATACAACGTTCAGTATGAAAGTTTATTCAGGCATGTCAATACACAAACGAAGACATTCTAGGGGTCCTGGTGTGGATAACTATGAAAAATAGAGTCAGTTTATTAAAACTGAATTATTACAAGAGGTTGTGTTTAATGGAATCAACCAGATGGTCAAAATTTATTATAAATTATAAGTTATTATAATAAGTTATTAGTTAATAGTTATTAGTTATTATAATAAACTACCTGTAGTTAAAGAGGAGAATAAACTGAATAAGACCTGAACATGGCTAAAAAGCATTGAAGATATAGAAAGAATATAAAGATAGACAATATCCAATTTACTAATCTGACTGAAAGAATATTTAAAATAAGACTATAAACAATGGAAACAAAAAATGCCAGAGAAATCAAGTCACGTCCATTATAGAAAATTTAAAACAAATTTAAATATTTAAATTCTGTATTGAACTTCAAGGTCACCAAATTAAAATTTAAGGCAAGATCCCACACTCTTGGTCTGGCATATGAAAAAAAAGATAAAACTTGGATAACAATGATTGTATCTGTCCATGTTGCAAAAAGCAGTGAAAAGGAGCCTGAATTACTTGAGCATTTCATGCACAGAGAAAAACCCTAATGAAAGGGATTAAAATGTTCCTATGCAACAAAAACGAAATACATTTACATATAGACTTCATAGCAAACAAAGGAGTGCTATGTTTAATCCTGGGTGATAGCACAAGACAATATAATTAAGTCCTGTGTGACGAAATTAATACAATACTTCCTAGTTGATGCCATGGAGAGTAGAAAGAAGTATACATATAATATTTAATATTTTTCCAATGTACAATGTACTTCTTATATATAAGTTTTCTTATTTTTCCAATGTTAGATGCTTGTGTTGTTCATATAACTTAGTTTCTATGTTATCTATCAAAAGGTTTTTCATTAGTATTTAGTGAAATGTATCATTTATTTGGTGCACCTCATAATCTACACAGTGAGCCCCTGTTACAAAAGGAAATAAATAAATATATCACCCTACAAAACACACATGTGCAATTAAATGTATTATAAACTTCAATACTCTTAATCACATTGTTTTCACTTTGTGCTTCTCAAATATCAGACTTACATTATCCACCATGTTTGAAAGACTAAACATAAATTCTGAATTTTGAGTATTCTCAAGAGTATTCATGAGCCTCAAGTACTCCCAGTACACATAATTTGCTTCCTAAACTTTCGTTGATTATTAACTATTAAAAAAAGTACAGTTCATAAATGTAACTATCTAACTTCTCTTCTCTTCTGCTTTTCAAAAAACCTCTCACCAAACTCTCAGCCCCTCGAATCTTTACATTTCACTGGTTATATTTAACTGAACCATGGAATTGTATATAGAATATGAATTGTATAAAAGTTCACAAATAATAATGTAGTAGTATATTACTATATTACAATATTACTATATTATTTATGCAACTCATGTTATAGTTTCTGTATGGAACATTGAGTTTAATAAAGTAAATGTACTATTAATTGAGGAAAACATTGGTTAGTTTTTTTTATTCGATGTGTTGCTTTACTTTTTTGGAACTTCTATAAAATTTACTGTAATAAGTTTGCATTTGTTTTATCATTAGTTGTTCGTGAACAGAACAAATTAAAGTGTCCCCATGTCTTCAAAAGTGTTCCATAATAGCTTTAGTTTAATAACTTTGCTTTCATTTTACCATTAGTTGTACGTTAATAGAACACATCAAAAGTGTCCCCATGTCAATATGTCTCTTAATAATTTTTGTTTAAATACGTTTTTGTTGAGGTTGATCATGCATTGGATATAATAGGGGTCACCACAAATATTGAAGACTGGGTCATGCCACTCCCGTTTACGAGTTCCGAACATATGTCATGTAACAATGAATAGACAGGCCAGGTATTACTACATCAGCACATTGTGCAATATTTTCCTTCTAGCAGTAGTAGTTATCAGAGGATTGACTACTATAAAACTGTGACTAACAGTACACGTATTAGCAGAGATTTATTTGCATATGAATGGTGACTTTGCTGTCAAAAATTGCACTAATAGATGGTCATTTGATTTTAACTATTTCGAACTATTCGATGGTGCATTGAATTTTACACGCACACATTTTAACTAGTTTGCAAGCCATGTTTTCAAATTAGTCAGTCACTTATCCTAACCATTTGTAAACGAAACTTTAATATGTCATAAATATCAAATTATAAATTATTTTAATTTTGTTCATTTCAAATGTTGAAGGTTTTAAAACTATATTGTTTGTTATGTTATATGACTTGTATATATTGTATTCTGACTTGACACTTATTTGTCAATCTATATGTATCTACTCGCTCTTTAGTGTCTGCTAGAACTGCAGCCATTTCTCTGTGCTGGCTTACTACATCGTCACATGGGATACACACCGAGTATGAATTCATATCCTACTGCATTTCAGCACTGTGACCCTTTGGAAGTCAAGGACGCTTTTGAAGTCTTAACACTCGTCACTTAACGTGAAAAAACAAATGATAGTATGAGGTATGTGGAACCTCAATCTCACCCTGGCCCTGAGAATGGGGAGGGGTCTAGTAAAATTATAATCATATTATACGCATAGTATAAGATATCTAAATAATGTGTTTTCATGTTGAACTGTATTCTGAATTAGCTCAAATGTATCTATTTGCTATTTACATATGCCTATTAACATTAGCATATGGAATATATTCAAATATTCAAATTCAATATATGAAAAAAATTCAACTATTACCCTAATAGCGTGAAGCTTACGTAAGTAAATTGTGTTGCATCTTCAATTTTCATTAAAAGTAGGCAACATTTAAAATAGTATTCATTTCCAACTGTAAATCCCTTAAAATCCATGATGAAGCCCTTGATAGCCGTATAACATATATGTACTCATAAATTTGCCCGATACCTCATAAGATAGATTAAATCATCATGTATGTGGATCAAAGATTTTTTTTATATTTACAAAATATTTAGTGCGAATACAATATAAATGTTTTTTTTTTACAATGGAAAAATGGCTTTATCATTTAAAAAAGTAGTAATTGCCCACACATAATTTGCACATTGGGGCAAAGAATGACAAAAATTGTCTTTATTAATGAAAGTTTGAAGCAATGTAAATTATGTGTGAGCCATCCATCTAATTAAGAACATCCATACTAAAATAGAAATCATTATTATTATGAATAAGTAATATATCAATACTGACCAACATAATCAAATCCACATATTTCATTTTCATCGTGTTTTTGTTAGTAAAGATCTTGTTCGAAAATCTAAAAACAAATACATTTTTGTTAACTTTTGATTTACATTTTGATTCACACTACTATGACATCAATCATACTGGTAATTCGATGTCGTAATTGGTTTGACTAAATTCATTAACACTGAATGGTAAACATCTTTTACAGTATCATATAACAATGTGAATTCTGTAATAATAGATCAATATTGTTATCAAATATCTGTTTTTGATTTCAGATAAACGTCGAGTTCATGCATCTGAGAATTGGACTCACCTGTAGCCAACTGGAGTGGTAGTTTCACGCTACTCGGTTGCAGTATGTAGTGAATTTAAATATTGTCAGTTTTGTTGGATTTATTTATATATATTGGTTATTTTGGGGTAAATTTTGAGCTATATATATATTTCTTGAATTATGCAGGTGGAATTTCATCGTATTTAAATTCACTGAAAAAATCGAGATTTTTCTACCACCACACTGGTGCGTTATGTGATAACATTAGTGATATCACATATCTGCTTTGATGGTTTATTTGTTGAAATAGTATTTCAATTGAATTGCTCACCAGACAGTTGATTTCTTTCATGTTTATATATCCTTTTTTGGAAAATATTTTGCTTTTGTAATTTTCGTTTCTTATAGTTAATTATAAACGAAGAGGTTTTATAAAAAAAACTTACCTCTGCATCACATTATTATGGATACAATATATAAGTAACTAAAGACTATTTGTTGTATAGATTTATTATACTTGAATTGTTTGTATATCCTTTTTGGCACAGTATACCATAAAACTATGGTGACTTACGGGTTGACCTTTTCGCGTCTGTCTGTGTGTCCCCACTCAAAAATCAGACATGTCTGGCCCGACCAGATCACAGAACATTCTTAACTAATATATTCAGGGAAACCTAGCGATGTCGACGCTAATGATGAAAGTGTTCCGGATGTTAAATGAAAATGTGATGTTGATAGTGTAAATTCAGACCAGCCAGCTGAGAAAAAAAAATAGTTTCTCATTTCTTGCGTAAACTTGATTGAGGACCAGCCAATAATGAACATAGCGAATTGGACAATACGATAAGAAATTGATATTGTTATACGTTATTTCGGATGGAGTAGTTTGACTGTATCCATCATCGTTGCAATTCCATGTTTGTTCATTGCGTATATGATCACTATCTCACATTCTTGGAATTTTATAAATAAAATATGAAAAAAATACTGGCTAAACTTCAACTAAGAAAATGTACAGAAATTTATATACGAATTCAAGGCAATGAAGTGTGTAGGAATGTACAGTAGTCTATTTATATTTACATATATATTTTAGTTTTTTAATTCATACAAACGGGAGTCAAAAACTGGAATCAATTAAAGAGGTTTTATTTCTCTGATAACTAAACCCTGCCTAGAGACTTGTTTCAAAAAAAATACTTAACTTTATTGTGTATTCATTGGTCGTAGACTTTTTATTAAAACAATTTTGAGGCATTTTGTGGCATTTATTTATATATACTGACTATTGTAAGAGTAAATCTTTCCCTGTATACATAATTATAAAATTATGCAGATGTGATTTCGTTTACTATCTACTGACTTTCCCACGCGAGTACTTCCATTGTCTGTGAGACAGATGCTGGTGGCATGACTACAGTCAGACTGGCTCCTGTGGAAACCCAGGTGGCACACCTGAAACTGGGCCACTTATGCTCTAAAAATAGGCTAGATTGAGAACGGTCATGTCAAATGAGTACTCCGTGGTTGCTTCTGTGAGACAAGTTATACAGGCTTGAATCATCATCACTTGCATGCCCTCCAGCGTTCCCCTACAAGCAAAAATTGTGTTTCTCTTTGTTGTTGTGATGCAACAAGCAATGACTGTGTTATTATCAATGCACAGTTTCCTGAACAATCCCCTATTTGAGTGAATGCATTCATTATATTATTCTGTGCATTGTCTCTTATCGAGATTTAAATATTGAAGCTAGGACCTTTAACTTGATATTTTGGTGTGTGTGTGTACGATTTCCAGTATTATTGTCATGCCTACCCCATTCTAGCAGTGAAAGAACCACGTTTTCAGTGTGAGTTCTGTGGGTGTCACTCTCAATATCAAAAAGCAGGCCGTAGACTGCGAGTCAAAAAATGAGTTTAACCTTCAATAGGTGAAAGGTTCTATTACTTGGATAACTAAATTCCACTTACTAATGAAACTAATGAAAGGCAAAAGTAACTTTCCCTTGAAATGTTTTAAAAATAACTTTCCCTTCATTGTGTATACATTGCTCTTTAACGTGACACGACTTATGCATGAGAACAGCTGATCAATGTCCTCGTGTGTATGAAAAACTGGCAGGAAATGAAAATCAATCTGAACAATAGCAAAGATGATATTGCCTTCATTGTTATAGTTAAATACATCTTACTTTTAATAAAATATCCAATACAACAAGCAGTTGCCCGAGACTTAACAAATAACTGTTTTTATTTTCTCTGCAGCAGTTGTCAAGCTCTTATCGTCAATGTTTGCAATTATAGCGAGGGTGTCGTCACCTGCGCATGCGTCATATGAACATAGCGTGTCAATGTTTAAAAACGTCTACCCGTGAGCGTTATTACTATTTTAGCGTGTGTTGTTATCATCGCTTGTGACTCTATTCTCGCGCGTGCGCAGGTGACGACCATCCCGCTTTAAGATTACTACCATGTGCGTAATTCATTATATTCAGATACGCTGGTACCAGCTTGACTCCTGGGACATTGGTGAATTATGTTACCTGTCAACGAAAAAACGTCAGGAACGATGTTTATGTTTTAAATGAAACATGAAGCAGCATAACCGAATAAACTGTCACAAATATATATATATATTTTACAGAAATCTGACGCGTGTTCTGCTAATCTATGAAAATGACATAAATACAATGCTTACGAACTAGACAAATGTATACAAACTAAATACAACAGTTAAACTCTGAAACGTATCCTAGCATCCTAACACTGCAGTTATTTTATCTGTGAGGACAAGCATTAGGATGTCTGAGGCATACAAACAATTATAATAAAAAAACATTTTGTATGGCTTTTATGCTAAGAAGCGCTTAGCATGGACTAAGAAATGCTCAGTTCGGTGTATCTGGCCCGTTTTTCAGCGCCGGTCCTGATCCATAGCACGGACTAACACAGTATGTGTAAATACTTACCAAGAGCTGAGCGCCCAAAACGCCATTGTATTCATTGTTCATTTGGTAAATTTACTATTATGTTCATAACTTTTTTCCGTATGCCATTTCAGACACGACAATCAACGCGAGCACATCTGGGGATATACGCAAATGAGTTTATCTGATATGCAAACATATGCGATTAGCTTAAACCATAGCTTGTACTTTGTGTACCGTGAACACTACTACTAATAAGAAACACGAGTTACACAATGTTTTGATTGAATATAAACCTCTGTAACGTATAAACTTAAACTTTAGCCCATTGATAAAAGACATTTACAAATTTGTCAGCACGGGTAAACAAGGCTTATTGGTATTAGAGGTTTTACGGTACACTACCAAATCTAAACATCACATGTTTTATTACACAATAACCAGATGTATCATTTTTCGTGTCCAATGTCTTCAATAAAGCGTTCGTTCCACGTTTGTACGTGCAACAGTGCTTGAGATATTAGAGACATGTATATTTAATGAGTTCTCTGACCATATATGGTCATTAAATATCTTTGTCAATTCTATTGTGTTGCTCCATGTCTATATATGCAATAGTCTCAAGATATGTCAATTCAGTGTGTGTATCCTCCAATCCCCACAATTCAATAGATCAGTTGAATGTATAGTACATATATACAATGGATTGGCAAGGTGGATTCACTCACTCACTGTTAATTATTTTATGATTTTAGATTTCCGAAAATATGTATTTGTGCTATACAAGAGGTGATTGCGGGGAAGTGTAACATTGTTGTTTATGCTTAAGTAACGATAATTTTGACTTTCAACTAAATAATCTTTGACTCGTAGCGCGTATGACCAATCTGTATGAAAGGGGAATGTAGGGGAATGTTTTTGCCAGAATATTGGGCAAGAAATTATGGTCTTTCCCTGCATGTGGTGTCTTCAACGTAGGCAGAACATTATTTTCGATATGTTTTTTTTTTCTGTGAAAGGAAATAACTTGAGAGATAGTGTTCGTTTCTATGACAAACAGGTTTTGATATGTGGATCGAGAAAGCGTCCTAGACCAACGTCTACTTGCCATTAAAACATATTCTAGGCACACTGAATTTGTTATAGCATTATTTATTTATTTTTTATTCGATGTGCGACTTGAATACTACTTAAATATAGCTAAGTCAGTAAATGCAAAATCTCTCAACGATCTAGAATCGTGATACGCCTCAACGCACAGTCATAAATGTATGGGGAGCTATATGAGACTTGAATGAACTCTACATATACACCCATCATAAAATGACTTTTTGCGCATGCGCATTGGCTGTCATGACATCATTATTTGCTTTTACTGTCTGTGTATATTCGCAAAATTATTTTCATGAATGACCGAGATCGATTGGAGCATTTCATTTTTGAGAACTATGAACAATGTTAATTATGTGTGAGCCATTTGTTACATTAGGAAAACCAACACCCAAATTGATGTCATTAATTGAAAAAGAACATAATAGTTAGGTATATACTGACCAACAAAATCAACCCAGCAAATCTCATCTTCACCAGGTTGTTGATAACAAAGATATACAAGAAAACACAAAACCTGGTGATTTATATTCACACAGACTATGACATTAATCATCATAAATATTGATAATTCGACGGCATATGCAGAATCATTAAAGTGTGTAAAATGTGCATTCAAATATACATTGTCATCAAATATGTGTTTTTAATTTTAAATGAACATGGGATACGCACTCACCTGTGACCAACTGCGGTTATAGTTTCACTCTAATTGGCAGCTGTATGTACATATGTA